AGCTGAAGGGCTCTGAGTGTACGCTCAAGGTTGACATCGTTCATGTGCTTGTCAGAAACCTGAAGAACGGGCAGGTTTGGCAGAAAAAACAGTACGCGTCGGTCGTTGGTGGGTGACGCTGAGGTTGTCCCAGGTACCGTCAGCTACTGGGCCTGCATAGTGTGGTGTTGGGGGTGTCGTATCCTAAGGCATCGTAAGAGTTCGGTTTTCCTCGTCCTTACATGTTTTCCTGGTTTGTCTGTTATCCTCCGCGGGTTTCCAGCTCCAGCCGTGCTGTTCCGCTGCGCTCCTTGGTTGGATAACGTGGGTCTTGCTTCACTTGGGATGCTGAACTTTGGTAGCATTGTTCCGTACGGTTACACCACATCTGCAAAATCTCAAAGGCTTTAGTTGAATGTTCTGAGCTGGTTGTGCCAAGTATCATCAAGAGGAGAATTTTAATATTCCTTCGGAAATGAGTTGGGTAGTTTAAATCCTTGTTTTCTCATTTTAAAAAAGACTCAGAAAACGTTCAGATTTTGGGGCGATTGACTCCCTCAAAGGGCGACTCTTCCACATTTTCCAAATAGTACATTGCACGCTTTTTTATACGTCTAAGTTTGGCTTTTCCTGTTTACCCTGTTGCAACTGAAGCTGTTTATAGAAGCAATGCCTATGAAGCTGGCCGTCCAAGTGATTCTGTGGTACACAGAGCCCTTTTCTTTTGGGCAAACCAGCTAATACGTTATTTTTAGCTGGTGGCTCGTTGGGGCCAGTAATTTAGTCTTGCACTGGATGTTGAAGGAATACGTTTCACACAGCGGTTGACTTTCCCAGGAGGGAGTTAAAGGTGTTCCGTTGAGCACGGAATTCTTGTACAGCGCCAATGGAGATTTAGGGGAGAACGGGTGCAATTTTAAATGAGATTTAATAACCTTTGCCTTTCTGTTTTCCACAATGGCTTGCTGTCCGGCTGTCAGAGAATACCGTGTCCCCAAGACACTGCTAGACCAGTGCATCACCTTCCGTACACAAAGCTGAGTGAAGCAAAGCGCTTTTGACGTCTGATTTAGAAGCTAAAACGCGTCTCCTTAAAATTCGCTGCAATGCACATTTAGGAGGGGAAAAAGGTTTCTCGCAGCACTAGTCAGAGTGGGGCAGAATGTAAACTCGGGTGCTGTTTGCGTTCGTGTGTATCGATATGGGTCACCGCTGTGGGTCTCTCATGTTGTTTGCAGTTCTGGAAGCCAAATAAATATGAAGTACTGTTTCAAAAATCATCTTTGTACTTTGTGTTGTACATCCGTGTGGCTCATAATGGGTGAGTTTTATTGTTTCTCCTTACTCTACGTCGTTGCTCGATCATTGGCCTTAACTTTTGCCCTAAGGGCACAGTTTCCGAGGACCCCGTGTGATTCTGTGAAGGTGCTGAGACAGAATTACTCACGCTGGAGCCCACTGGCTTATCCCGCCGTGTGCGGAAGTAGCGTTGGTGTAAGGCTGCGGCACCCAGAGCTGCCTCCAAGTTATCCATAGCTTCAGTGTAAACGGGGCACTTTGAATCCATTTGGGATGTCCAGGCAAACAGGGAACGTGGGGATGGCTAGGCTAGGAATTCACTTTTCTTTTCTCCTCCTTTTTTTCCCCCTATCTTGAATTTTTAGCATTTGGTTGTCCTGTAGGTGAGAACGGCGCTAGGTGAGCCCCACTGGGAATGTGAAGGGCTGTTGCCACACTTGAATAGAGTTAACCAAATGGTGAAAGATTCCCGCCTGCCCTCAGAGCGGAGGAAGGCAAAGCAGACATCCGGCATGCGGCACAGGAGCAGAATTTCCTCGGAGAGCTGATGGAAAGCGAAGGTTGGGGTTGTTCACCTGTAGAAACCTTTCTGTGGGTTCACTCGGGGGCTTGGCTGGGACCCAGATCACAGCGTATTGTCTTCCCACGTAGCATGAACGTCGACTTGTTGTCTGTAGCTGCATTGAAGAGCCTGGTTTTTAAGCGTCTGGTTGAAACTTGACCCGTATGTGTTAGAAATGAAAACGCCTTTAGGGCACAGCGTGCTTTAAACATGATTTTGTTTACTTTCATGCCTTGCTCGCTTCCGATTTCACCTGCTGGCTTTGCAGAAATAACGACCTGCTCGATACCCATTCCGGTAGTCAGTCGAGGCCTGTGTTAAAGCTGGTTCCTCAGCCCGTGGCGTACGCCAGTCCTGGTCACCCCGTCGTTATTTGTGCGTGGAGTCGTCCCTGCTCCCAGGGCGGCTGAGGGAATGTCGCTCACCATTCGGCTGATGCCGAGGTGCATGGAAGAGGGCACGATCCTGCTGCAGCCAAACTATGTGCTCCTCTAGCTGGGGTGGAATGCCCCGGCTGCCAGGCGTAATTGAGTAGTTTTGTACAAATATTTGACCTTCCGTGCTCGCTGGCTGTGGAACGAACAGACTACTTCTCCCCGTTGTAAAGCACTTTGGGATCGAGGACTGACAGCACCGTGTTACGTAAAACACCACGGCCGTGCCTTGGGAGTGAAGCTTTGGCGCAGATTCTCATCAGGTCAGCAGCAGAATAAAGATTGCAATGTCCGTGTGTGCAGTGGCGCCTCTCCGAGGGGCGTCTCCCAGGTACGGGATTGCTCTGGAGATACCCGTGCTGCGCTGTACTTCGTTCTCCCGACGGACTCGTGGTGACGGTGCTGTGCCATAGAACTACGTACATCACGCACAGACGAGGCGTTTCGGGTGGGGAGGCTGGGTTTTTTCATTTCAAACAAAAACCCAACAAGCCTGGCATCCCTGTCCGGCCGCATTCCCTCCCGCTGACCGAAGATGAGCCGCCAGCGCTGCCTTCGCCAGGCCTTTTCTGAAACGGCCAGCTGGTGCTGGTTCACGTGGGTGAGACTCGTTTCCTGTGTTCCCCAGGGCCTGGCACCAACTTGAATCGTTCAAGGGGCGAATGTGATGGCAAAGTGGAAGCACCATCTCCCCCGCTGCCTGCAGCACACCTTGCCACTCAGAGCCCCCCCGAGATCTGCTCTTCTGGTGAAATGTCACCAGAAACCGTCATTAAAGGAGAGGTGCCTTCCTCGACCCAGGTAAGATCGGGGGGGCGGGATGCTAAGGTGTCTGATTAACGAAATTCTCCCCCGTTAGGAACACTTTGAAAGGCTGTAATACCTTACTCTTTCATCTGTTGGCTGCTTTTTTATTTTTTAATAAATACAGGTTCTTTTAAAACTAAAAATCTGTTGAGGTCAGGGCTGATGCTGTCTTAATTTTCACCTTTCTGCCTCACCTCTACAGAACCTGGTTCAAAAAACTGTATATTTTTAAAAAGTGCACGAGTCCTTCTTATTGTAAACACGTTTGTTTGCAAAACGTGTGCAAGAATGCCAATAACGGCGTAAGGGTAGCCGAGTGCCCGGCTACTCGTTATCCCCTTGCGTTCTCCGTCTGGATTTCTTCTACCTAGACGCAGGTAGAAGCAGGCTGGTGCACTGAATTACAGGAGTTTGACATGAAATCCCTAGCTTTCCCTCACATTTCCTATTTTTAATGGTTTTAATGAGGCTTTAGTCCCATTAAACGAAAGGGTGGAAGCACGGCTTTACCTCTGCGGTCACCTTAGAGCTCAGCGAGCTGGAGAGGTCGGCCGGTAGCCGCTTCCCCGCTCCCCCGGCCCTGCACAGGCGG